CACTGTCTTACCGACTACACGCACACTCACATTTGGTGAAGATGGTGGGAGAAAAATCTGATTTTAATCCTGAAAATTAAATCCAAAATCCTGAGTATAATCTCTGTTTTCAGGGGTCAGGTCACTTGTCAGTGTCTGTCAGCCCCATAACTAAGACTAAAGTTCTGTCACGGTTCATTCATTCTGTTTGCAGCAGACAGAGTTTTTCGAGTGCGGTCCAGCAGATGGAGACATTTTACAGTGTTTATTATTACAGGTAGAGTAAGTAGACTGTTGTGCGTCTGTCATTATGGAGCGGCCGACCACTGTTGCTGTGTATGGAAGCATAACTTCCCAGATCATTAAATGTTAACAAAAATTTTAATTCCATCTTTTCACTCAAAATGCTAACACACAACAGAGAGACAGCGCACAACTTCTGAGAGAGAGAGAGAGAGAGAGAGAGAGGTTCATTACAGGTGGGTGGAGCCAAACTAGAAGGTGTTTACAGATACCTGCACTGCGTCTGAGGGACAGGCCATGGTCATTGCAATGGCAGCAATCATCTCTGCAGCTGAAACAGGTTTCACAGGCTCTTTGGTGGGTTCCAGCATCCCCTGAGAACCAGCAGAGACGATATGAATGCCATGAAAACATTTATCACCACCGTTTATCAGCACGTCACAAGGAGCAAAAGGAGTTACATTGGCGATCGGCTGCTCAATCCACCAATGAGCTGAGGGATAAATTAACGATATATAGAAGAATCTACATAACTGCTTTACACAGTGAAATGACTTAGACAGGAATCGACAGACTGAGATCTGAGGAGTTGAGTCACTCACCAGGCTGGCAGCGTACATAGGCACAATGACCGGCTGTTTCCTCTGACCTGTGAACAGCTGTAACGACCAGAACAGAAACGCTTTAGATAGACATAGAAATGAATGAAGATTTCTGAATAAAATAAAATAAAAATGTTCACTTATGTACTGCTGAAAAAACACAGGGCAGTATTTCTCTGCATGATTAAGAAGGGGAAGTGAGGTAGTCTTTTCTGACCATGTCCACTCACAATGCTGACTACAGCTGAGGTGAACCCTAACAGAAGGGACAAAACAAAAAGAGAAATGACCTCTTTCCTTTCTCTATTTGGGCACTGTAGTTCTGCAAATGACTACTAGGTGGCAGTATTTCTACATAACAGCAAGACAAGGTGGCATTTCTGAATAAGGAAAGGAAAGTGAACTACTGTGAAACTATTTGTGTCATCAAAGGGATGGATTCCTCAGTCATGACCAGGGGAACCATCGTGTCTAATGTTAAACCAGCAGAACAAACGGTTTCCATCATGGATTGCAAACTTACAATGTTCCTGGTGTCGATACCCAGGCAGCAGAGCAGAGCTTTGTTGCAGTGTGATCCGCCCCACTGGTACCTCAGGCCTACGGCTTCATTCACGTCTTGCAGCTGAGTCCAAACGCCGCGCACACATGCATCACATGACCACCTGCTGTCCTCCTCCCCTTCAAGTTGTGCTGCTCCTGCTGGAGGCTCCAGCAGGTTTTTTAGAGACGTCACCTCTTGAACAGCAGAGGTGGCGACAGAGGCATTCAGAGGGAAGCTGTTTTGAAAGAGTTTCTGCAGGCGCCCCAACAGTGACACCTGTTGGCATAACATTGATGGTTCACTTTAAAATTGTGTCCATACTAAAATAATACAATACTAAAATAATTTAAAAAAAAAAAGTTTTTTAATTCATGCTAAAACATGCCTGTGGTTGTCATGGTCTTTAGCAGTCCAGTAATGTGTGTTGTTGTAGCTGTACCTGTGTTGACCATTAATACATTTACATTTTATTTTTATAAAGATGAAAACGTCTACAAAAAACTTTTGATATTTGTAGATGCATTGGACAAACTGCCATTTAAGATGCAAAACGTAGATGCATTGGACAAACTGCCATTTACAAAATGGCCATTGATGTTTTATAGTTTATAATATATATAAAGGCAATATAAAAATATACAAACTTGTGGTTAAACAGCTGTAATTGTTTTCAACAACAACAGGTGAACTTATTCCTGGCCTTCTTTTTCTTACCATTTGTGCATCTGTCCTACTGGTTTCTTGTTCATCTTTCGTTCCTCTGCTCTGACGCCCCTCTTCTTCCTCTTTCTCCTCATTTTCCTCGCACATCCCATCCTCCTGTCTCTCTGTGGAGCTCTGTTCAGTGTTGAATGTTGCCCACGATTCACCTTCCATCTGATGTTCTTCTTCTCCAAAGGCACTCCAACCCACATTATCCTCTACAGCTGAGGCGGCAATTACAGCTGAGCTGAAATTTCCAAAACTGTCACTGGCGGGAAATTCTGTGAAACCATCTTCATCCTCTCCTTCCCTCCCCCCACTTAGGAGTTTAGGGGTATTAAAATCACCAAATTCCTCATCATTTTCCTCAGTATTTTTAACTTCCAGTTCTGTAACAGAGTTCTCCGGCCTGCTCTGCTCCTGCTGTCCCGCCTCCGGGGCATGATTACATTCACCAAATCCCTGTGCTCCGAAAGAGTTGGCTTCTCCAAAGTCACCAAAGTCCTCGTCCTCGTCATCCTCAGCCAACTGGCTGTGGTCGGCAGGCGTGGAGGGCTCGCCCTGAAGAGGAGGTGAGGGCGCTGAGCCAGTGGTACTCATGTCACCATACTCCTCCAGAGCATCCGTCGACAACAGACGCCCAAAAGATGTCTCTGTTTCTGTTTCCGTTTCATTCCCGGAGCCCTTCTCATCAGAGTGTCCAGTCTCAATGTCAGCAGCATCGGGTGAGATGTCACTATCTTGACTGCAGGCTGCATCTGTTCCATTTAGAGCCAGGTTGTTGTTAGTGCAAAGTGAGGCAGCAAGTTCCTCTGCATCAGTTATGTCCCGTTGAAACTCAGCATCAATACAAGGTTGCCAGTTTGTGTCACAGAAGGGTGATCCAGTTCTGTTTATGTCCCTAATGGTTTCCTCAGAAGTCACTTCTTGCTCAACAGTACACTCACCTACTGAATAAGCATCCACTCCCATACCCTCCATCTGGCTGAGAGATCCTTCAGTCTCAGAAAAAGCAGCAAAGTCTGCAAAACCAGCAGCATCGTCTATAGTGGGATTTTCTGTTTCCATGTGACAGTGGACAGAACTCTGTGAGGATGGACTTCCCTGTTCATCAAACCCATTTGTTAGCACCTGCGCACTAACACCATTACAAGCAGTGAGCTCCCCAGAAGAAGTGTCCTCCACTGAGCAGTCCTGCGAGCTGCTTATAACCTTTTTAATTTCAGTTCTTTCTGAAAGAGCACTACCATTGGTTTTGGGGCGCTCTGTGCTGCAGCCGTGGGTGCCATTCACACCGATTACGCCTCTGCTGTTGAGAAGCTCGGGTGGGGAGGTAGCTGTCAGAGCTTGAGTCTGGTTAAAATTGGTAGGGGTCTCAAACTCTGTGAAGCTGATGCTGTTGGGGACTCCAGAGAAGGTGCCAAAGTCTCCAAAGTCATCGTCCTCTTCCTCTGCACCGTCCTCCATCGGCGGTGGCGAGGAAGAGTACATGCGAATCACGTCTGGCTCCATGGTTCCCTGAAAACCGATAAATCCTCCTGTCTATTTCTGTAACGTGGAAAAAACAAGAGTCAGAAACTGATAGTGTGGCGTTGGGATTTCATTAAAAAAAAAAATCTAATCAGTTACAGGCTTTGAATTGAATAACACTTAATAATTGTTTAACAAAATAGATACATTTGAAACAATAACATGTGTTTTATAACAATGAATGGCAGAATGAACGAAAAATTACTTAAAATGTAATCAAAAGTAAGGCATTAAATTTTCATCTCCAATTAGATGTTTTAACCAACCACAATGCAGGTAAACGGCAAATGTTTACCACATTTTTCCTTCTGTTCCACATTTTAGAGTTTCCTCATAGTGCGTTCTGCAAGGGTTGCTATAACCAGATACTCTGTTCCAGTGAGATACATGTAAGAGTTTCCTAATAGTGTGTTCTGCAAGGGTTGCTATAACCAGATAATAAAAACCATAAAGAAAATACATTTCCTCTTTATACAGTATTTAATAAAATGTTGAATACATTATTTAACAATGGGGAGTTAGGTGAATTTGAGCAACATGAAAAAAAATATATACATTAGTTTTTAAAAACATAGGACACGATTGAAATGTCGAAATCAATTAAAAAAACCCAGTCCAATTACATTCTGTTACCTGTCGTAACCTCATAGTGACAGTACACCCAGGTGTTCAGCAGCTGACTCCACCCACTAGGAGCAAGACAAGCAGCGACTTTATGGTCTGCTGACGTCACTGTTTGCTTTGGCCCTTTTATCAAACACAAAAATCAGTGAACGGTTGGGACAAAACACCCACCACCCCGTCCACCCACCTGTCTGACGTAGATCAACTAACCCAACTGCTAACTACGCTAATGTCACCGTTTAACGTGCTGATACACAAACTAATTTTAATGTTAGCAGAGATTATTAGTAGTAGTTTCTCACACATTAACACGTAGCCACTGAGCAGTAGCACAGAGGCCAAGAATATTTCCTGATAGGAGATTACACCGGTTAGCGTAGCTTTAGCCAATACATTAGCAACGAATATAGCATTAGCCTGAAAAACTTACGAAACAAACGGACCTCAGTCTTGTAAATACTGAATTGTCGTCAGATGACGTTGCGACTTTAGGTGATTTGAAAACACAATAAAGTGAGTTAGGAAGAAGTCAACTGCAAACTAAGTAAACTACGCAGCTACAACTGCCAGCTTTAGCTTGAGCGTTGACAGCTGCTGTTGACTCCGTCACCCAGTGCCGGACTTACCCTCAGTGCCGCTCCTTCTTGCTCCATGAGCCGCCAACACACGCTGCTGTCCGCGGCTCTTCTACTGGAGGAGATGTTGAGGAACAGCAGGGCGAGGAAGGAGGTGAAACTCCAAAGAGGGTTGAGTCCAGTCAACATGGACGTACCCAGCTACTGCTGCTGCTGCTACTGCTGCTACACCGCCTCAATTACCCAGCATGCACTAGCGAGGAGGGCGTCTTGCTTCTAAAATAAAAACCTTAAAATATTAAAGCTGATAAAAATTACTATACCGAGTACACGTTGCAATCTTTTTATATCAAAATGCAAAATGTTACCTCGATAATAATATGAGTGTTCACAGATATTTTTCAATAAACAAATACAACTGATTAAACTGGAGGGATGAGGGGCTGGGGGAATTCTATGTTCTCCTAATACCCGTGCAAAGCATCAAAACTTTAAACAATACTGCTTTTTCTTTGCTATGCTAATGTACATGTTGTCGAAATAATGTAGACATGTCCGAGCAGGAGGCATTTGGAAGAAAACTT